GAATGGCCTTACAAACCCATGGGCAAGGCACTCCAAACGCTCGGGGACAGCCCGAGGCTTTGGTGTCAGCGCTCGGTGCCAGGGCTTTGCACAGGGGAATAAATCCATCAGCACTTTCCTGGAGTTTGCAACTGAATCTGCATCTCCTGTCACCCACAAAGAGCTCTTGGATTTCCTCAGAATGCTCTTGGTTAGGCCTTTGAAGCAGGAAGCAGCAGATCCTCACACAGTTGTTGCATTTCAAACTGTACAAGAGCAGCTGCTCAGAGGTTTCACACATCTGAGCAGGTAAAACCAACAGGTTTTGGCCCATGAAAGTTATTTTTCTTCTTATTTGGCTGTCATCACCAGTTACCTGCATTCTCAGAATAAAATTCTGTTCTTTACAGTTCTTACCAGTGCAATTTAGGACAGACTGGCCCTGCAACAGGGAATTGTACACCCTATTAATTATGCACACACTGTTAGTTATGTACACATCATTAATTATGCCTTAATCGGAGGATAATTCTGTTCCTCTAAGATAATTCTTCTCTTTTTGCTCTGTGCACTTTTTGCAGGAGTAAGGCAAACCACAAGCTCTCATTTCTCAGTGATGGAAACAAGAGGACACATTGTCTTCTCCAAATCAGCTGTGGTTCCACAATTGGAGTTATTATGGGATTATTCTTGGGATTGTCAACTCTTTGTGGCGGCAGGCTGAGAAGCAGGGAAGGCTAAACTGGAGTTTAAAATGCTGTGATACTGGTAAATGATGTGGAAAATAATTGTGGCTAAGGGTTTGATGCTAATACATAATTTTTTAGAGGTATTGTAATACAGCTGCTGTCTCATACAGCTGTGATGAGCAAATAGTACACAAAACCTCCATGACTCAATGGATCACCCTCATCTTTTGGCACAGCTTGGGGAGACATCCCTGGATCTCTGTCTGGGGACTCATAAAACCTCAAACCACCCAAAATAAGAAGCTGAGTAGTATGGGAGCATCTGATAAAACCCTCAGTGGGAATGGCATTTACTTACTGAGGGTCAGGCTCCCACCTCCTCCTGTATCTTCCAACTACTTCATTTAACTCCTTGTGTTCTCTTGGATCCTCCAGCAATTAAAATAAATAAACTTCTTAATATTTCATATCAAATCCAGACTCTCCCTCAGCACACCTGCCCAGGCTCAGCTCTTCCTTTGGGGTAGATGCAAACAAGTGAGATTCTCACACACATCAAGTGGGAATTACTTTCTTATCAAATTTGTTTTGAGTCAAATCTATTTTAGAATGATGTAAGTCCTGAAAAACGCTGCAGGACTGTCCAAGTCTGTTAGCACTTCGAAGTAAACAAAAAAACCCTGCTTTAATTTAGCCCAATTTCCAGGCCACCATGGTCAGAACCCAACTAAAAGCTCTTTGGGCACTAAAAAACAAAATCTAAATATGAAACAGAAGCTCCACAAGGAGGAGGGCTCTGTGGGAACCCTCCTGCCTTTGGTCTGACAATCCAAAAAGTGTGTTCTGGTTTCCCCCAGCATCCGGTGCACTCCAGCAAAGTTTCTAAGTTTAAGCTTCACTCAAAGCTCCAGTGTTCCTTAAATGGCACAGCTCAGCTTGGCTGGCAGAGCTGCAGCTCATGGTAAAGGAAGCCACCACCACATGAACGTTTTCCCTAAATGCTGCTCTATATAGTCTCAATGCTCAGCTCAGGAGTGGCTAAAATAAGCTCCTGAAATAACAACTTCAAACACTACCCAAGGCTGCAGCCTCTCACAGGGGCTGGGTTTTCCTACCTCAGGGTGCCTGAAACAAAGGATGCTCCATGCCATGGCAGGAGAGCAAGGCTGAGCCCAGCTGGAGGACTGACATAAGTCAATTAGGATCCCTTGGCTCTTAATTAGAGGATTTGTTATTTATCCCAGGCTGCCTCCCAGTCCAAACTGGGGGCTGACGCCCTCTCTCTGGGATAAACAGGCACTCAGAAATGTGGGGGCTGTTTCTTTCTCCTTTAATCTGAGCAAACAGCATTTAACTTTCATGAGAATGAAATTAAATTACTCTTTTGAGCCTGAGTGAAAACCCCTTCTGTTACATACAGCAAGTTCTGCCTGTGACCACTGATTCTATCTGCTGGAAAACCTATAAAATAATAAAGAATCAGTGAATCATTTAGGCTGGAAAAGAGCTTTGAGGTCATCAAGCCCAACTGTTAAAGCAGCACTGCCAAAGCCACCACAATATAAGCCAAGAAACTAACAGCAAATGGTATTTATAGAAAATCTGCACATTAAAATCACATACAATGAAATTGCTATGCAACACCAGTGATTCAGAGATAATGTCTCCTATGGAAGCCTAACAATTATGGAAAATGAAATAAGCAGGAAAATATAATTGGACAAGAGTCACTGATACATTCACAGAACAGAGAACTCGAAAATCTTATGAATCCAGGGAAATAATATGTGGGTCAAGCTTAAAAGGAGCCCAGAAACACCAGGGAGCCCAAATCTCACTTCAAACACATATCCAAGGGTTTGCATCTGCAATTCCTCCTCCAGAAAGCTGAGCACCACCACCAACTCTCTGAAATCCAGACTTCTTCAAATGTATTCTGCTTTACATGGATTTCTGTCACCACTCCTTCCTTCCCCATTATCACCTGCACCACGGAGAGCACAAAAATTCACATGATATCCCACAGGAAATGCAAAAGATCTCTGTAAAGCTGCACAGGGACTCTGTCTCCTCTTCAGCTCTTCACAAGTTTCTCAAAGTGTTGGGAGAAAAGAGCTCTGGCTACACCAGGGAGGGAGGGAAGAACTGAAGTGAGCAACAGCCATCCCCAGAAATGCCCCAGAGCAGCCTGAATGCTGCAGCAGCTGCTGGATTCATGCATGGGCTCCATCAGGAACCTCTTGTGGCTGTACCAGTCCCCATAACACATCTGCAGCAGTGGCTTTGTTAAATGTCATTGTTCAGACCAGAGGAGGCCCCGGGGCTGCTGCAGGGCTGGAGCCAGGCTGGGACACCTGGGGGTGCTCACCTGGAGAGGAGAAGGATCCAGGGAGAGCTCAGAGCCCCTGGCAGGGCCTGCAGGGGCTCCAGGAGAGCTGCAGAGGGACTGGGGACAGGGGATGGAGGGACAGGAGCCAGGGAATGGCTGCCAGTGCCAGAGGGCAGGGATGGATGGGACATTGGGAATTGGGAATTGTTCCTGGCAGGGTGGGCAGGCCCTGGCAGTGGTGACTCTGCAGTGTCTGTGCTGCCCTTAGGTGCTACCTTTGATCTGGCAGAGCATCTCTGCCCGCTGCTCCTGGGGCTCTCCCTGGTCCAGCACACACCTTCTCCCTGTCACAGGGTTTGGGACAGCCACAGGGACTCAGGTACATCCCCTGGGACAGCTGAAGCCACCCAGGGCAGCAGCACCTCCTCCCACAGCTCCACCTGAACTGAGCTTCTTGCTACAAGGGAGCACAGCACTGAAAAGTGTCCTGTCTGCTATAACTGTAAAAGGACAGCAAATATTATTTTAAATTATTATATCTCAGGAGATTTTAATTATTACCTTCAAGATTTTTTAATAACATATATAATGTATTTACCTACGAATTCCAGCCCATGCTGGATACTTTCACTCACGAACATATTAGTCATCCTTTAATTATTGCTACCCATCCTTATTAATATGTATAATACAGATAAAGAGCTCCCTGGCAGGGATGCATTTTAATGAAGGCACTGAAAGGCAACTCACAGTAATTTCTAGAAGGTTGTGCCATGGTTGACAATAGCAAACCAAAGCAGCCCAGAGATGGGATGAGGTGTGGAAGGAGAAAAATCAAATTCGTTTCAATATTCTAATGATAAACTGAATTTCAGAGAGGACACCTGGGGCACAAGGTACGCAAGGAAAAGGACACCCAGGGCACAGGACACCTGGGGAATGGGACGGCAGGGACAAAGGATGCACATGGCACAGGACACTCAGGGCACAGGACACCAGGGACAGAGGACACCGAGGGCACGGGACACCGGGGGCGGGCCGCCCTGCGGAGCCGCCCCGACAGGCGGGCGGGGACCGGACGGGGTAAGGAAGGGGCGGTGGTGGCAGGGTCGGCCGGGCCGCGGCGGGCGCGGGGCGGGCGGGGAGTGGGGCCCGCGGGGGCCGGGGAGCTCCGGCCGAGAGGCCGCGGGCCCGCGCTCCCTACCCGGCCCGGGCGCCCTCGGTCCCGGCCCCGCCGCGCTCCGCGGGCCCGGCTGGGCCCGCCCGGCCCGGCCCGGAGCGGGGCTGTCCCCTCGCGGCGGCCGTGGCATGGCAGGGACCGGGGGTGTCCCCTCACAGCCCCCGCGGGAACCGGGGTGTCCCCTCACGGCCCCCGCGGGTACAGGGGGTGTCCCCTCACAGCCCCCACGGGAACCGGGGTGTCTCCTCACGGCCCCCACAGGAACCGGGGTGTCCCCTCACGGCCCCCACGGGAACCGGGGTGTCCCCTCACAGCCCCCACGGGAACCGGGGTGTCCCCTCACAGCCCCCACGGGTACAGAGGGTGTCCCCTCATGGCTCCCGCAGGAACCGGCGTGTCCCCTCACGGCCCCCACGGGAACCGGGGTGTCCCCTCACGGCCCCCGCGGGTACCGGGGTGTCCTCTCACGGCCCCCACGGGAACCGGGGTGTCCCCTCACGACTGACTGGAGTCAAAGAGGCTCCTCACGACCCCCGTATCAAAGCAGGAACCAGGGGTGTCCCCTCACGATTCCTGAGGGCGTCGGGAGTGTCGCCTCTCCACCGCCGATGCAGGGCTGGAGTCAGGGCGTCCCCTCATGTCCCCTGCGGGAACTGGGGTGTCCCCTCACGGTCCCCGGGGCAGGGCAGGCACCGGGGGTGTCCCCTCACGGCAGAATGGAGTCGGGGCGTCCCCTCATGACCCGCGCCCGAGGCGAAGGGGCCGCGCTGCCGCCCAGCCGAGGGAACCTGCTTTTTAATTCCTGTCCCTCGTTGTCCCTCAGCTCTCGGGGCGATGTGGACCCCGGGCCCGCTGTGCGCCCTGGGCCGGCGGCGCCCCGGGCCCTCCGTGCCACTGCAGCCTCTGACCCGCCTGCTCCAGAGGGAATATCGGGAGAAAACCCCGACCCGCCTGCTCCAGAGGGAATATCGGGAGCTGCTGCTGCCGAGGCAGGGCTGGGGAAGGACACAGCACCTGCCTCCCTGCCGGTTTTTAAGTAATAAACCCAAATCCAGGCGCCATCCCAAAACATTCCCAGTGCTAGACGGACGTGTCCCTGCCGTGTACCAACATGTGTTCCAAGAGAATTTAAGGAACAGCGAGGCTGTGATTAAAAGGTAATAAAGCGGTTTTGTAGGGTTTTTAGAGCGTTGCTATTTGTGACATGGCGTAAGAGTCACTTACGGGCACTTTAGGGACTTTTAACATGGGACGATATTGCCTCCATGGAGCAGTGTAGCTGCGTAATCCCTGGAAGTGTCCAAGGCCAGGTTGGATGGGGCTTGGAGCAGCCTGGTGTTCCTGGATGGCTTTGAGGTCCTTTCCAACACAAACCAGTCCATGAAATGTTGACTGAAATGCCCAAGGTGCAAACTATTCAAAACAGTGCCATGTGTTGTTTTGCATACATTGCCAAGAAATACTTTGTCCAGACTTATGTAACATTTGTTTTGTGTTGCGTTTTGAATGCAAAGACGTAAATGGTGACTCACACACTCCTGACAGAGTAGGGGACGGATGCTGCTGTCCATCATCATTTACAGATAAAACGACAAAATGTGTTTTTTGTGTTTGTCCCGAAAGATTAGATGGCAAAATTGCAAAGGCCTTTGTTCAGGGGAGTGATCCACGAGCTGGAAGCAAAGCTTTGGAAAACACACTGTGCCCTCCTGTGGTGGCATTGAGGACATGAGTAAAATCCTTTTCCTCCGAAGTTTTTCCAGCCTCCAGCGTGTGCAGGGAGCCACACTCAGATCACAGAGTCACACCCAAAGTGCTGTGTGAGTCTTTGTGTCAAACAACATTTACAGTTAAAGGTGATGCACCTGGGGGAAAAATGTGTTTGAAATAAAGGAAGAGCTTGGTTTATTTAAAACCGAAGTTGAGATACCACATTTGTTTATAGTTTATTCAGTTTTTTACCTATACATGGTGCTGCCCTGGCAATACCATTGGGTAATCATTTCCTCCCTGTGACACTGCAATGTTCCCTGCTTTTAGTATATCTTCCAGATTTAGTGTTTTATTCCCAGTTACTGATTTTTGTCAGATAAACTTGTTGCAGGACCTGACGGAGGAAGCTTTTGCCTGTATTATTGCCAAGAGCAGGTGGAACATGGAGGTTCATGCTGAATTAGGACAGGCTCATTATGATAGCCTCATTATTATTATATATTATATTATTAGCTTTATTAAACAGTTTTTTGGATAAAAAAAGTGAAATGTTTGCTTTAAATAATAGACCTTTGCTTTTAATTACACTGTGGAAAAACAATAATCTGAAAATGTGAATTTATCTTAATTTTCATGCCATTTGTGTGAAAACTGTACAATATATTTAAGCTCAATCTGCTAAAGGGTAACTTCTAAGGAAAATGGTTTGGGTCAGGAGGGCCCTCAAAGCCCACTCAGTGCCACCCCTGCCATGGCAGGGACACCTCCCACTGCCCCAGGTGCTCCCAGCCCTGTCCAGCCTGGCCTTGGGCACTGCCAGGGATCCAGGGGCAGCCACAGCTGCTCTGGGCACCTGTGCCAGGGAACAATTCCCAGTTCCCAATGTCCCATCCATCCCTGCCCTCTGGCACTGGGAGCCATTCCCTGGGTCCTGTCCCTCCACCCCCTGTCCCCAGTCCCTCTCCAGCTCTCCTGGAGCCCCTCCAGGCCCTGCCAGGGGCTCTGAGCTCTGCCTGGATCCTTCTCCTCTCCAGGTGAGCACCCCCAGGTGTCCCAGCCTGGCTCCAGAGGGGCTCCAGCCCTGCAGCAGCCCTGGGGTCTCCTCTGGACAGGGCAGGATGAGCTTCTCATCCACCAACAGCCCAAATCCTCCCAGTCTCCTGTCCATCCCTTCTCCCACAGCCCTTGTGTTTGTCCTTGGGATTTTCCCGGCCCAGGGCAGGCCCTACACTGGGCCGTGTTGAACTCCTGAGGCTCCTCCAGCCCCAGCTCTCCCCCTGCCCGTGTCCCTCTGGAAGCCGCCCGTCCCCTCCAGAGTGTGACCGCAGCTTTGTTCCCATCGGGCGAAACTTTGGGTTTTTTTCCATCAGGTACTCTGAGCTGCTGGAGAGGGTGAAGGAAGGAGGGGGAGAAAACGCCCTCCTGCGGCACACGCAGCGCAACCAGAAGCTGTTCGTGCGGGAGCGCCTCAGGCTGCTGCTGGACCACGCAGATTTCCTCGAGCTGTCCCCGCTGGCAGGGCTGCACATGCCCTACGGGAATGTCCCTGCTGCCGGCTGCCTCACGGGTAACGGGGGTTGGGGCTCTGCGAGAGGGAAACGGGGGGGAAAAGGATGCATGGAATGAAGATTGTGGGGTATTTTAGTACCTGAAGTGCTTTCCTAGGAAAAGTGAATGCTGGTTTTGTCCAGGTCTTATTCCCAACAGGGAACAGTTCTGCCACTGCTGTTTTACAATAATGGGAGAAACATTTGAAAGAACAGTTTCTAGTTTCTTCTAGATTTAGTAATCCCACTTACCATTTACTAATTTTTGTCTCAAAAGATGTAGGGTGATGTGTCAAATCAGCTCCTCTTAAAGGGGAGAGGACAAAGTTATGTGAGAGACAGGAGCTGTAACATACATTTTGAAGTGTTTTTCAAATCACAGACAATTGCATTTTCTATGCAGACATTGTCTCTTTAAACTGAAACAGCTCTTCAATATGAAATTTCATTGAAATTCAATTTCATTCAATATCAGTGAAATTGCATTTTGAAGAGTGGTTCCAGTTCAAAAAGTAACTAGAAGAACAGTGTGAAAACCCTTTTTTTCATCACACATTGTTATACTTTTCAGTTTTATAGGGGTAATTTTTAATTGCCTTCCCTTTTATCTCAAGGGATAGTTACAGTGTATTTCTTTCTGTTACATTGTCACCAGAAGTAAGTAAATTTATTTGAGGTTTTTCTGTCATTTGGATTATTTTTAAATACTGTCATTCCAGAGAAGAGTGTAGATTTCTTCCCTGTGTGGTATTTTCATGTTAATTTGGAGCTTCTTGATGTAGCATTACTGAGAAAAACGCCTGAAAAAGTTAAAAGGTTTGCCCCCCTTGCTTTACCTATTGCTTTAGAGAGTCCTGATAAATATCTGTGGTACTGCTTGCAGGAATTGGCAGAATCTGTGGGATCTGGTGTGTCTTCATTGCTGGTGATGCCACTGTGAAAGGAGGAACCCTTTACCCAATTGGAGTGAAAAAGCAACTGAGAGCCCAGGAAATTGCCATGGAGAACAGGCTGCTGTCTGTGCACCTGGTGGACAGTGGGGGAGCCTTCCTACCCCTGCAGGTACTGCTGGCACTCTGCAGAGCAGAAAATAGCAGTATTTATTTCACCACCTGACCAGAGGTCAGAAACTCCAGTGAGTGTGCTGAGCTGCTTTTGTGTCTGATAAATGAGGACAGAGTGGGAAGGGTCTATTTTCACTCCAGAGTCCCTAAAGTGTTCTGTATTTTATTGTCCTGTTTGTACCAGTGGTGCACTAAGCTCTGTGGCCTTTAAAAGTGGAGTAGTTTTTGCAATTCTGACTGCAAAATAAGAATTTGAACAGGTTCTTCTATGAAATGCAGAGATCATCCTGTCATAGAGACTCTAGTTGTTCTCTCTCTAGCTGAGGGCAAGCACACAGGAGAAGTTACCTGAAATTTTAAAGTTAATTCAAGTTATTCAATTTTAAAAGTTACCTGGAAGTTTACCTGGAATTGTATCCAAAACTAAGCAAAAAAGGAAACTGCTGAAGGGATTTCACAGGTGAAATAGAGCTACCACCCTTCCCTTCTCCACATTTACAGTTTGTGTAGAATATATTGATTTCAGAAAAAACCACAAAACTTAACCTGTGCTTTCAAAGCAAATAGGTATTTTTGGGGTATTTGACAACATATAAAGGAATAAATACCATAATGAATGCTGTATATGAAATATATGAAATACTAATCAGGAGTGATTATTAATGGAGACCTTCCCAGTGTCTGTTTGGTGTGTTTGGGAATGAATGGAGTAAAGAGGAAGCATCAAGTTTCGTAGTTACCATTAAAAATCCCTTTTTCTTTTCCCTGCCCCTCAGTCAGAGCTGTTTCCTGACAAGATGCACGGTGGCAGGGTTTTCTACAACGAGGCAATCATGTCTGCCATGGGAATCCCTCAGGTACAGTGGCATGGGGAGTGCAAGGGGGTGTAGGAAAGGTGTAAATGGGTAGTAAAATTTCTGGTTTGCTCCCCAAGTGCTGTGATTTAGCACTTTCTGCATTCCTGAAATAACTTTGGGCTTGCCTTTGCCTTTCCTGTCCCCTGTCCAGCAGTGCTGTGTCTGTGTCCCCTCAGGTGGCCGTGGTGTGTGGCTCCTGTGTGGCTGGAGGTGCCTACGTGCCCACCATGGCCGAGGAATCCGTGATCACGGATAAAATTGGGATGCTGTTCCTTGCTGGGCCGCCCCTGGTGAAGGCTGCCACGGGAGAAGATGTCTCTCCTGAGGAGCTTGGAGGAGCCAGGCTCCACTCACAGTAGGTGGAGATTTCTCAAAAGCAGGGAATGCAGCACGCTCACCCTGAAAGGGATGTGGCATTGGCATTTCAGAGCAGGGCTGAGAGGGGAACCTGTGCTGACACTGGCTTGCCTTCTCAGGTTCAGGGGTTTGGGTTAAATCAGCCAAATGGAAGTAAAATGAGGTTATTGATGGGGTGAGGCAGGGACTGGACAGGTTGGATTTGGATCTCTGTTGTTCCACATACTTCTTGAACAACTTCAGGCAAGTAATTTCCTCTGTGCCTCACAGGGAGCAGCTACAGAAGATGGATGCTATCTCCTCTTTTCCAAGTGTTTTCCAGAATACACATCTTTAACCCAGTTATGCTACATGGAATACATTCCTGTCCTTATATCTTGGCTGCAACCACTTTGTTTGAAATAATTTCTGAAGTTTGCTTTCCTCTTTTCCCTTTTTGATATTGTCTGCAACAACAGCATCGCCAAAAATAAATCCCGAGGTCTTTCTTTAATCCAGATAAACACAAAAGTCATGGGGAAGAACAACTCCTTACTGTGAATTTAATTTGGTTTTGGACTGCCCAGAACTTCCACTGACTGCTTTCAGCTCATTCATACAGAAACAAACCCCACAGCATTTCCACAGGGCATTTGGAGAGCCTCAGCTTTTTTCCTAGAGTTTGGTTTTCTCTCAGGATACAGAACTCATTAATTCAATGCTAATTAATGTCTCTCTCTCCTAGGGTCAGTGGCTGCTGTGACCATTTTGCACCCTCAGAAAAGGAGGCCTATGAGTGCATTCGTAATATTGTCTCTACCTTAAACTGTGAGCCAGTGCCAGAGCAGGACAGGGAGTGTGACAGTCCCTTGTACAGCCCTGAGGAGCTCCTGGGCCTGGCACCACTGGCTTACAGCTACACTCTTCCTGTCAAACTGGTAAGGGAACAGGGATTTCATTCCTGCATCCTTCACTCTGCTCTGTCCCACAGCTCCAGGTGTTATTCTGAATTATTACTTCATCTGTTGCCAGCCTGTCTTAAGCCTGAAATAAAGCAGGATGGCAACAGTTCTGTGGGATTATAGGAAATATTTAAATTTATTATTAAAATATTTATAAGAAATAATTTATATTTATTATAAAAATATTTAAATGTTTATGATAAAAACATTTAAATACCTGAAATCCTGTTGGAGATAAAATAATCCCAGATTGTGCCAGTGTTGCCCAGCTGATTCCATGCACTCTTGGGATGCTTGCTTTATGTCTTGCATTGTATTGGCTGCCTTCAGAACATACACCCCTTTCATGTCTGTGTTTCCCTTCCCCTGCCTTTTTGTTTCTTCCCCCCAAGCATTCAAATCGTGTAAAAGAAATGGTGAAATTATTGACTGAAAAAACAACACAGCTCAAATCACACTTGTTTGAGGGTGGGACGGAACTAAAGCTTAAGCAGAGACATGCAGAGCTGCCCACGCTGTTTCCATTGTGTTCTACATTAGACTTTGTCTCCAAGGATGTGAATGCAGTATCTTTTCCAGTGGTAAATCCCTGCACTTGAGGGAATTGACTGCAGAAAGCTTTGAAGGCAGCTTTTAACTGTGTTAGAGAAAAGCATGAGCAATATCAACCAAACATTTCTTATGCACAAAATCTGAAACTGCACACACTGGGGTTTGGTTTTTGCTTTTTTACATTTTTATGCACAGGAACAGCTGGGCTTTGTAAAACTAAAATAATTTTGGAGTTGGCCTTTGTCTTAAAGTACACAGTTGGTAATTAAACAAAACACAAATTGGATGGTTTGTGCATATTGAGCATTTAGCAAGTCACCCAAAGACCCTCTGTGCTCATCTTGCATAACTCAGGTCTGTTACTGTTTGAACAGAGCATTTTTAGCAGAACTCTCCTATTTTCACCTCCAATTCTCTAGGAAAGTCAAGTCTGTGTATTTCTTTGCAGATCCTGAGCCGGCTGGTGGATGGAAGCAGATTCCAGGAATTCAAGGCTACTTATGGGACAACATTAGTGACAGGATTTGGCCATGTGGAAGGGTATGGCTGGGAACATTCCCCATCCAAATGGGTGCACATGCATTTCTCAACAGCTTTTGTGGCCTCAGCAGGTTCCACACCACTCCAGTCATTCCTAGGGCTCAAAAGAGAGATTGATGGAATAGCTGAGGTTGGAAAGGACCTCTCAGATCATGGAGTCCAACTGTCCATGTTTGTTCTGTAGGCACTTGGTGGGGATAGTGGCCAGCAATGGGGAGCTGGCTCACGATGCTGCTCTCAAGGGCAGCCACTTTGTCCAGCTCTGTGGCCAGAGGGGAATTCCCATCCTCTTCCTCCAAAACACTGCTCCACAGCCAGCAGGGCCTGCAAGCATCTCACAGGTATGGCATGTTTGCTTCAATGCATTTCAAACAATTCTTAGTTCTTGTTGGGCCTAAAGTTACATTTTCAGAATTATTAACTGTTAGGAAAAGTGATTTTTTTTTAACCACTCTTGATGAAGCTTTGTAATGACTTTGCTAATGGGGAAAGATTTAAGAAGTTTCTCACTTGAATTTTAAGCAGGCCTGGATGCTGAAATAAAATGATACTATTCAGTTAGTAAGGCAGGCTGGAAAGTTTGGGATTTGCAGTGCTTTTTGACATTGAAATACAGCTTATTGATTCCTCTGCTATCTCTGCACTCCAGAAAATTGGCTATTTCTCTTTTGAAAGTGAAGGCATTAAAGCCCAGTAGGATTTGTCCTGGGCTAAGGAAAGTAAAACCTCCATCAGATCCCAGATCTGTTTCTGCAGAATTGTAAATGAACAAATAAATGATTTGGAAGTACAAGTTTGTTGTGAGTGGAGAGAATCTAGAATAAAGTCTTAAAGGATCTAAAATGTCTATTTTTATTCCAGGCAGAGGCCCATTCCAACAGGCTGAAGGCCCAGGCCTCCATGATGGCTGCAGTTGCCTGTGCTGCTGTTCCCAAAATAACCATTGTCATTGGAGGCTGTTTTGGGAGTGACAGCTACGTCATGGTATGGGGTGGCACCAGCCCAGGGCTCGGGGACACACCTGTCACACTGCTCAAGTGTCACTGCATTTCTGAAACACAGCTGGGGAACTGAGCTCTGAGCTCATATTTAAGTAAGAAACGCAACAATGCGTGCGAGTGCTGAGAAGCAAACATGGAAAAATTAATCACGGAAGTGCTTGGAAATCAAAATGAAATATTAAAATAGAAATATTGAAGGCAGTGGGGAGGTGGTGGTTCCTAGCACAGGGTGACTGTCCTCATACAAATCCACCTGTGCTCCATCCTGCCTTGTCCTTGGTTGTTTCTTCCCACAGACACCTCTTTATGATTCATCTCAGTGGGTTTGTTCTGTTTCTTTGGTTTTTCCTTGCAGTGTGGGCGATCGTTCAGTCCAAACTTTCTGTTCCTGTGGCCCAATGCAAGAGTTGGTCTTGTGGATTCTCAGAATTTCCCCACAGTTCCACCAGCTGGGGGCTGGACAGGAGAGGAACTGGAGCTAAAACAGCTGAAGGCAAAGTAAGGACATTCAATACAAACCTGACAGGGATTTCATTGTTCAATTACCTACTTTGGTTCATCTTATAGAGCAACACATCCTGACTAATGAAACAAACATGGATCTACTGCAAAAATATTTTAAATTTCCACGTTGTTCAATGTCTTTCTGTTAGGGCCTTCCCATTACTGCAGAAGGGTCAGCTCTGTTATTTGCTGCTTTCTGGCTAATTTCAACAGCACTGCTGCCCATTCTTTTCAGATAGATGGATTTGCCTGTTTCATCTGTAATTTCTTTTCACTGCTCTGCTGTTTTTATTGTGCTTTTAAGCCTGTTCAATTCTCTGCCTTCTCCAGGCTAGAGGAAGAAAGCAGTGCCTTTTACTCCTCTGCCAGGCTCTGGGATGATGGGATCATCCTACCTCAAGACACCAGGAAGGTGGGTTTTCCTTTTAGGCCCTTTTGTTCTCCAGTCTCACAGTGGATGAACATGACTCACTCAGGGTTGACAATGTGCTGAATCCAGACCTGGGGCTCCCACTTCTCACTCCATAGAATTTCTCTCAGTAATTCTCATCCTGTCTCTTCCTCATTAGTTTATCAAAAATCTTGAGTTCTGGTTACTTGACCACAGCATTTCCTCACTGAGCCTCTCCTTTGACTTGACCATAATTTGAATCTGCATCTGAGTCCCTTTTTTCCATATAATTACCCATATCTTCACTCTTTGGAGTTCAGGCTCCTCAGAATTCCTTTTCTTTCCAAAACATGATTTTGTCCTGGGATGTTGCTTTTTGCAATTTTCTCTTCCTGCTTTAAATTTGCTGTGTGCATTTGGGATGCTCCCCTGCCTTTTTATTGATTTGAAATTGGCAGACATCCCTCCCTCCATTAGGTTCTTTCTGAAAGCTGCTGCCTTTGTCCTTTTATTTTTCCTTGTTAGATTGTTTATTAGCAATAAAAATCTTCTCTGCACTTCTGAAGTTTGTTTACTTGAAGATCTCAATCTGTTCTGGTTCCAGCTGGGGTTAAATCACAACACAACCCTTCTAAATATGGTGCCTATTTTTGGAGCTATGTGGATGGTAAATATTTTCATGGAGTTTATGGGAACTTTGATAATGGAGAGCACCAAGAAGGTTCTTTAGTCCTTTAGCCCTGAAATTCCCACTTTATGAGCCTCACATGAAAATAAGAGAAAGTTGAACTGTTAATTTTACCTTGTTCAGTGTCTCACAAACAGAAGGAACAAATAAATAAGCACAGAAGTAATGAGTTGTACTAGTTGGGTTTTTTGGTGTTTTTTTTTTGTTTTTTTTTTTTGTTTTTTTGTTTTTTTGTTTGAGGCTCATTGCTTATATTGTTTTTTGTTTTTAATTAGGTGATTGCCCAGTGCTTGGAGATCATGGAACAGAAGAAGTACCAGGCTGTGTCTCCTCGTCCCCATCCCATCATCAGGATGTAACTGCAGCCCCCTCAAACCAGAGCCCTCTACCAGAACTCTGAGTATAAAGATTTTCTAATTCTTTGATACCATTAATAAAAGTGTTGAACAATTGAAGACAAACAAGAATCCCAGATTTTAAATCTGCTGGCAGGAAGTTTTTATTCTCAACAATAGCTTCTTTTAACATCAGCTGAAAGTTTCTTTTGGGAGAAGGAAGGATTAAGCTGAACATCTGTAGCACTCTAAGGAAGCAAAGTCAGCCCAAGGGGTAACAATTGCTTGATTTTTTCATGTCCATGTTTTAACATGAAATCCAGAAATCAAGGACACTTGGACAAAAGAAAGGGAAAGGAGCAAACACACAAGGGAAGGTGTGCAGTTTGCAGCCTGGGTGAAGAACAAACAGTGCCTGCCACTCTCTTGGGATTCCCAAAGCAGCTGTGGAAAACTCCACTGGGATTGCTCTGAGGATACCACAGCAATGACCAGGATGATGTTTAAATCCAGAATCCTTCTGTTTAGGCTAAAATTTCTCAACCACGTAACAGAACACAGCCAGTTGTACACAATGTTACCACATGTAAAAGTGTTGAGGTTACTCTCTGCTCTTTCAGTTTCTTTCACTCTGCTGCAGCTACAAAGTTTAATTTTGCATAAACAGAACCTCTCCACCACCCCCAACTTGTGGTTTAACAGGAAATGTACCAAAGGGTGCATTTAAAAAATACCTGATTAACCATTTTGAAGAATCATTGACAAGACTGAACTGCTTGATCTGAGTGAAGCAGCCCCACAAATGCAAAGGGCTGTGGAAGGAGTTTGGGTCACCTGTAAACGGAGACTGCACCTTTTGGGAGCTGGAAGGAGCCCGGGCCAGGTGTTGCTGTCTGTGCTCACGCTCTCTTGAAGAGCCCATGGAATGTCACGGGAATGTTCACCTCCACCTCAGCCCTGGCCACCTCGCTCATGTCTTTGGCGTTGAGGATGAGGAGGAAGGCGGGCTTGGGCCCCGCCCCCGGGCTGATCACGATGCTCAGCACCACCCCTGCAAGGTGAGAACACGCTGGGTGTGGCCCAGGTGGGTGTGGGCTGCGTCTGACCCCGGCTGGACAAGGCGAGAGCAGCCCTGGCACTCGGGGCACCAGAAGTCCCGGGAGTGTCACCCATGCTGAGGGACAGGGGCAGGGACACAGCGCAGGCTGCCCAGGGAAGCTGTCCTGCCCCAGCCCTGCAAGTGTCCAAGGCCAGGTTCAAGGCTTGGAGCAACCTGGGACAGTGGATGGTGTCCATGCCCAGGGCAGGGGGTGGAACAGGATGAGTTTTAAGGTCCCTCCCAACCCAAACATTTTATAACTTTAGTTTTAGTTTTCCTGTGTTTCCTCAGAAATTCCCCCCCAGTGTTCACACCTGTCCCATCTCAGCCCTGCAGCCAGCCTGGCACAGCCCTTCCCAATCCCAGTCCCAATCCCAATCCCAGTCCCAATCCCAATCCAAATGCCACCACCCCCAGCATTACCATCATCTTCCTCCAGTGCATCCGGGTGGGAAACGAAGATCGGCTCCGATGGGTACGCATCCGGCTCCTGCCACACCCAGGTCTCCTTGGTTTTCACGTTCAGCTTGCACAGCTAAAGGTGGGGACAGGACACAACCACAGAGCTCAGAAATGCTCCTTTTTGTCCCCAAAGTGAAGCCATCCCCTGTTGGCTGATAGTTACCCTGTCTGGGACAAAGTGGTTCAGCCCCAGTCCGTAGGTGTACGTGTACGGCTTCCCTCCGTACTTCCTGTAGTTGATCTGGGGGAATTCAAAGGCTACAAGGAAAAAGAAATGTGTATAAATGCTGAGGGTTAGGGGGACATGGGGTGCAGGCAGCACGTGGCTGCTGTGACCTGGGGGAGCTGGGCTGCCATCGTACCGTGACGTGGCCCTGAGAAAATCACCTCTGGCTCCAGCCAGATGGTCTCATCACTGCGCAGCGTCGCTGTGGCTGTCGTGTAGGGCAGGGTGACCAGGTTCTTCCCTGTGTCAGCCTGTGACAAAGAGAAATAAACACCCAAGGGATTGGAGAAAAGTTTTGGATTATTTGCACAGAGCTGTAGCAAACAGCACTGAATGGGGAAGGCAGCGACGTGTGGCAGAGCCTCAGGAGCGGCAGGAGGCGACTGCTGCCCTGTGCTTGGCAGTGCTGCAAGAACTGTCCTGTTCCTCAGCCTAAACACAGCTTCCCTCCCTGCTGGAGGCATTCAGAGGTTTCATTAAGCTCTGCCACGTGGGCTTGCACGTCTCGCTTGATCCACAGCCCAGTGAGCTCCGTGAGAGGCTCTGCTGACCGGTCCCCTGCAGCCCTTGGCCCACCCAGCAGCCACCACAAGCAGGGTCATGGAAAGGAACCCAGCAGCTGCCAGCCAGAGAGCTCTGTCTGTGCCAGGCTGGCAGCTCCAGGGACCTCACACCGAGGGCTGGAGGATTTAACCACACATGCTTGGGCTATGGCTGCTCCCTTCTGTGCTGTGAGCAGATCCAGTATTAACTGCTGCCCCACAGGCTCTGCAATGATTGGTAACACGTGGAATCATCAAAGAGTTTGGCTTGGAAGGGACCTTAAAGCTCAGCTCATTTTCCTCACCATGGGCAGGGACACCTTCTAACACCAGTTACTCAGAGCTCCATCCAGCCCAACCTTGGACACTTCCAGGGATGGGGCAGCCACAACCTCTCTTGGCAGCCATATAAATAAACTAGAAAAACATTGATCAGCTAAAGAAAATACAAAGTTTCTCTGAAAGCCCATACTTAAAGTTTGCCCTCTTAATGAAAAGGCTGAATTTGAAGTAAGTGGGGCAGGAGGCCTGGCAGGGAGGGGAGCAGCCTCCAGTACCTTGTCGATGCTCAGGGGCAGGACGTATCTGCGGGCCTCGGGCTGCGGCGCCTTCTCCGCCTGCCGCTTCACCTCGTCCCAGTTGGCCCGAAGGTTGGCCAGGTACAGGTAGTTGTAGACAAACTCAAACCTGCACCAAACAGCACCACAGAGACAAACACAGCTGGGCTTTGCAAGTGTGGGGGAAGTGTAGGTGGTTTTTGCCTAAAATTCATAGAAGCATAGAATGGTTTGGGTTGGGAGGGGCCTTAATGTTTATCTTCTCCCAAGCCCTGCCATGGACAGGAACACCTTCCACTGTCCCAGGGTGCTCCAAGCCCTGTCCAACCTGGCCTTGGACACTGCCAGGGATGGGGCAAAACAGAGTGACAGAAGCCCCAGTCCAGTTCCTCAGCAGAGCTGAGCTGTGTGTGCACCACAGCCCCTGTCAGGAAAAGCCAGCAACTGCTGGTGTTCAGCACAGGCACAGGAAGGGGCTTGGAGCAACCTTGCTCATGCTAGGGGTGGAACAAGATGAGTTTTATGGTCCCTTCCAACCCAAAGCAGTCTGGAATTCTATGATTCTATGCCAGGATCAGCTCAGCTCAGGATGTCCTGGGTATGCAGCCAACACAGGGCTGAGCTTCATCATTTCAGTGCCACGTTTCTGTGTTTACATGAAGAGCAGCCTCCAAGCCTCACACACCCTGCTCATTGCAGCCCCAGGAGCCAGAATAGCATCAACCCTTCACCAGTCACTAACATTTCTTAAAGATAAAAGTAAATAAGAGATAAAAATATTTTTTTTTCCTGGAAAATGAGTGTCAAGCAGGTTCCCTGCACCTCTGGAGAGCTCAGTGCTGTATAGTCTACATGTCACCACGTGTTAGATATTGAATGGGTTGGTGGAAGTGCCAGAGGCCCCAGCAGGGATGTGCCAGGGCAGGGAGGGGCGTGTGTGGTGCAAGGGGCAGTTGTGGTGCCCAGGCACCCTTGGCCTCACCCCTTCCAGGTGCACAGGTCCACGATCAGGAACCCGTTGTCCTCGTAGGTGTTGATGTGGTGGAAGAGGTTGAAGGCCGAGGTGCGGTACTTGAGGTTGAGGAGCCTGCCTTTCTTCTTCTCTGCCACGTGCAGCCACACCTGCAAACCACACAGCAGCTGGGCTTAGGCCCAGGGAAATGAAGGTGAAGCCAAGGGACCTCCCGAGCCAGGTCTGGCTGCCCGGTCCAGCCCAGTTTGGGATGACCCCATGCTTACCCCCATGGTCTCGTTGGACTCGAAGCAGTCCATGTAGTTGGCTCCCCAAAGGCTCCAGGAGGAGAGGAACTTGAGGAGGTTGATTTTCACTGGTGTCTCCACAAACACAATGTAGTTTGGGGTCAGCCCAAAGCTGTTGGGAAAGGCAGGGGAGCACATCAGGCTCACTGGGGTCAGTTTGGACAAAAACCATGGATCTGCTTATCTTAAGCACATGGATCATCGCTCAAAATGACCCTGATTTTGGTCAATCACCTGATTTTCATTGCTGATGACATATGAAAACTAGTCCCTGGTTCCAGCTGACCTGCTGACCCCATGGAATTTTACCTGTGGACATAGGAGGGCTTAAACCTGTCACTGCAGGGGAACTGCACCACCACCTCCGACTTGTTCATGGGGTCTTCCTTGTCTGGAATGGGACAGGTGAGAGGTTATGGAGGTCTCACCCACACCTGGGCTGCACCTACAGCATCTACCCAGCAAATTCCTGCCTTTAACACAAAATTCATCATTTAGAAGCCACCTGGAAGTGACTTAAATACAATCTCAAAAAAAAAAATTAAAGGAGCTTAGAAAAAGCCTAACTTGATAACAAAGTTCATTTAAAGGATAAAGAAATGATTCATAATGGAAAAGTTTCCCAGCTGACTCAGAGGTGGCATTGACTGACCTGCCTGCAGAGGAGGAATCCGGATGATGTTGTAGGCCAGGGCAAAGTTTTTCCCAAAGCAATTGCCAATGTTGTAAACAGTGCCATCATTCTCAATGTGGGGATGAGCTGTTGCCCCATTGACAGACACATATTTACAGAGATCCACCTGGAGAGAAGCGGGGACAGAGTCAGGAGCGAGGTGGGAAGGCACAAGCTCTGCAGAGTGTTGTGACTCAATACATCCTTGCTCTGCCTGTGGAAAGTTCCTCTCAAAGTCTGCAATTGAGCTCTAGTTTGCAAACTCCAACTCTAATTTGAAGATGCTCCAGGGGCTGGAGCCCCTCTGCTATGGGAGAGCTGAGGGTGTTCAG